TTTAGGGTGGGTACACATCTTAGACTAACACTGTTCGGTGTACATATATGTCCACCGCGTACATTTATGTAGGCTGCACACTATACAGTCAAATCAATTTAACAAACTGTGTAATGAGTGTTCTTTTGTAGTTTTCATAATTACACTTAACATTGAATTTTTTTTCCCATTATAAAAACACGTTTTTTAGTTGATTTGTACACAACTTTCTGTCATAACTCAGTCCAAAAGTCGCTGCATGATGGGGATAATCGCATCTCAAGTAATGTATGTCTGTCATAAGACATTGTTTGTGGAATGCACTCTGGTAAAGAGTTTTATAACACCAAATATTTATTTTTAGAAAATTTTAATCAGAGCAAAATGACCGCAATCTTGCAAATTTTATTACATTTACGTGTTTGGTAATAAATACAAATGTATGGGGGGGGGGTTATTAATATAAACAATTATGATAAAATGTTTCCTTTAAACGTCTTTATGAACACACACTACATATATTTATCATTAATCTGTTAATATTTTAATACTATAATGTAGGTTATATGTACTAATATGTAGGTTATTATGATGCAAAATTCAGATGACAGATTTGAAGTTGAAACAAACATTTAAGACAATGATATATAACAAATCAAAATGTATAAATACTATATAAAAATAATTATACACATTGTAGTACTAAGAGAGCAATAAAAAGATAGTGGAAGAGAGGGGAGCATAAAAAAGGAAGAGAGAAAAACAAAAAACACACTAATTAAAGATGTCTTCTGATCAAACAAACAAAAAAATGTAAACATAGTAAGTACAATTCTTACAACCAAACACCTTTCCTTTTCATGTACTTCTCAACTAATTCGTTGAAGACATCTTTCTCACTGAAAGGAAGAAAAATTGCTTAACTTTTACAGAATAATTAAAAATAAAACTCGATTAAATACGAGTAGCTTTGATCTAACGGAGGGTCTGCAAGGAACATTTCCTCTGCCTTCTTAAAATCAGTATTATGAAGTGCAGAAAGGCCATAGATGGTGCACTGGAATAAAACTCATGATTTATCTACCAAATAATAAGCTCAACTTAATCAAGTGCATTCAAAATTAATTCAACACTTACTTCTGGCATCAATACATCAAGAATGAACCAGATTTTTTCCTAGATCAGCAAAACAGTAGGGGTCCTGTCAAGGAATCTTTAAGGTATATGAGAGGTATATGGTTTTGCTGTTCATCATCCTCGAAATACACAGGAACGATGTAAGAAGATGGTTTGAGAAACCTTTTCAGATACTTTGATTTCTTCATGCCTATGACAAGGAAGCACTCTAATCAGTCATGCACCACATAATATAATAATGCACTCCATAATTTTCAAATTACTTATTGTAATCTACTCTGTCCTTTCCTTAACTAACCATTCAGTACTTATAGTATGAAAAACATGTTCTTTCATTTAGTACTACAACTAATAGCTGCTGAGGGTTGCAAACAGTGGGATTTCTTGGTACAACAAAAACACATTTATGTTACTTTAATGTGTTTCATGGCTACTAAATGCATAATTTGCCCGTGTTAGTTCTTACTTATAACTATTGAAAACATTAAAGGAATAATATCTTACATTCAGTAGTTCTTTTGCCACTTGTTCCTTGATTATAAGGTCCACAGGCTTTTCGTTGTTTGAAGTGCGCTCACTGAGCACCACCTCATGTTTTGTGGTGCTATAACTTATTTTAGACATACTGGATACCCTGTATACAGGCTGCAACTTGTCCTGAAGAAGGTCAGTTTCCTCAACAGTCCAAAAGGCAAATCTGAAGCCATGTCTGAGAGAGAAATAAGAGGAGCTATGGTTAACAAGTTTTTACTATTTTAACCTGCATGGTAATCTGCACCTTATAATATATTTTTTCTGCAAAATAATATATAATATTAGGAAATACACATAATAATAAATAATTAAATATTTTGAGAAATGTAACAATAGGTAATTAGCTTATGTTTTAATTCAATATGCTTCTGATTTTAAACACTTGTTATAATATTTATCTAAATATCCCTAAAGAAATGTGTGTATCAATTAAACTTTTACAAAAAAAATATAAAAAATATATATAAAAAAAATAAAAATAAATAAATAATAATAAAAAAAACTGTTACACGCTTTTACACAGCTGCACAGTCAACTTACCTTTAAAATGCAATGCCCTTTTTACATGAAGATTCATATGGGCCTCAATCACTGTCTTTTTGCTGGGTTTAAAGGTAGGACACAACGGGCAGTGAAAAAGTCCCTTACAACAAAGATGGCATTCTTCTAGAGCTGGATAGGAACCAGCCTCACAGATAGATCGATGCATATGAAAGATTTTTGTCCAATAGTCAGCCAGTGTATACAAAAGCAATATTACCATTGTAGCACTATAATTACTATAGAGGCTATTGAATAAACTTTTATTACTAATAATGTTTTTGTAATAATTATGCAAAGAATTAAGTGCCTGGAATACAGCCACTTCTGACGATGTTTACTACCTTGTCGAAATATACTACTGAAGCGCGGATCGAACAAAGAATAAAAAAAAAAAATATACCGTGTCAAATTATGGTTAGTGTGTAACTGACACGAGGAATCAGCACTTGTTCAAATTCACAATGAGAGCATAGTACGATACTCTTTTAAAACTGAAACATGTTACATATCATGCTATATTTGATTAGTGCATTCATGGTATCACGTCTCAATGCGATTGAACACATAATTTAAAAAAAATTAAATTACGAGCAAATATTTTTTTAATTGTAAACTTGTAAAGCTCTAAGGAACTTACCTTGACTTAAATTATGATCTCCACATTGCTCCATTTCCGGCTATTTCCTCCGTAAACAATACACTAAGAAATTAATTTGTATATTTTGTAGAAATACTGTCACGCCCTGCTCCGTCCGCTCCCGATGTGTGCCACGCCCACCTCGTTACCTCGTGTGATTCCTTGATTGTTCTCACCTGTTGCCTGTTTCGTTTGCCTAGTCTTGTGCATTTAGTCCGTGTCTCAGTCAGTGTTAGATGCTATAGTCAGTGTTATATCGGGCCGATATTTATCATTTTTTAATGTATCGGCATCGGCCGATATCCGAGTGCACTACGCCGATTTTCAGACAGGCACGTCTGCGGGCAGCCCAGTGTTATTGTTGCTGTGGAACACGTGACCCATGCTGCCTTGTGCAGGACCACAGCCAGAAGTTTTGGAAGAGTCCTGGGATGAAACGGTAAGGCTTAAATTCTGATCTTTCAATGACCTGTTTATTTAAGTAGTTTGCTATGAAATGTTGCTTTAAAAGAGAACGCGAATTACGCTATTGGGAACTGGGGTAATGATAATGAGCCTTCAACCAACTGTAGCTTACAGGTATCATTGATTCTAATAGAGTTCGTTTTGTGCGCTTATTGGTGGGCTCACAGACGTTTTTTAATCGTTAAAAATCATTTTAATTGTTAACATTTTAATTATTACCATATCAGCCCGATGTTATCAGCTATTATCTGTTTTTTTTCTTGTGTCGGAGAGTTTCACTCTGTGAGTGTGTGGGACGGAGCAGGCAGCTCTGAAATAATGCAGCGTATGTGAGAGTTGCG